TCTACTCGAAATGAAAGTAAGCCCAACAATTATGAAACAAGAGATTCCTCGAAACCCAACTTTTCTTCGTGTATATTACGTACGTATGGTATCAATTCCTATCAAAAGGTGCTATACCTTTGGTCGTCATATGACGAACATCATCAGAACAATGTATCATCCTTACAATCAAATTGAGGCTAATGGGTCAAGAAAACTCACCGACACATCCATAAAAAGCTGTATATATACTCTGTCTGACCTCTTTGATGAGATATAAAGTGATTTGGTTAGTTCCAGTCATATGTCAACCTCGAAGCATGTTAGTATGTCTGTCGCTGTATGTGCATGTTTTATGCTTATCCTACACCTATGTAAGTGTATCAAAGTGATGCAGGAGGGGGAATGGATGTGGAGTTTTCTTGACTCGTTAGCTCTGATGATATTCGTCATATGACGGACGAAAGCTTAGCACGTTTTCATCGTAATCGAAGAAGATTACCTCGGAAACAGCGTCGACATGAATGCTCCAGTAAAGCCAATCGACAGCTGGTAAAGAGGAATCCGCCGTCGTCTTCTGGTGGAATCGACTTTTGAACCTCTTCATCAAATACTTTCACTCGAAATGGAAGTAAGCTCAACAATCTAGTAGCTTAGATCGTAGATATGAAAACCAAGATGGTGTAGCCTCCTATTTGGTCGCGGTCTCCTTTAGCTTTATTATGATGGTGTGATCTCGTCTTCTCAACTTGGTCGGAGCGTCAGGGAGACCGTGTGGAATGTATTAAGTCCTCTGTCCGCTGCCATGGTACTCGTGATTTCCAATTTCGGACCATTGACTTGGACTATTCCCAAAAGTTTCGTTGGCATCGTCAATGAGAGGCACCATCGTTAGAACAAAGTTACAACTCATCAAAGACAATCCCCTTGACCAATTTTCTATTCAACCGTTGTGGCATCACTCCTCGCCTCTATTTTTCCTTCTACTTTCTGATGCTGCATCTTCTTCTAGCGGACCCCCTTTATATAACTCATCTGCCTATTCACACAATTCTGTGCTCTCGTTTTCTCCAATATCGCCTAAGAGTGTGTCGCTACAAGTGGGTTTAGTGAAGCGTAACCATCTCCTTATCACCGGTACCAGGTGCCGTTAGCAAGGCTCCAAATCTTCATTCAATTGCTGCTGTATATCAAAATCACTTATACGAGATGTATTCACCCTATTTTGTTTAGAGCGATGAAAGACTGGCAGTTGAATTATGCCACAATGATATGACTAGAGCTGACATTTCCATTGAATTTAACATAACTTTGCTCTCCCAAAAGGTGTTCTCATCCAGACAAGAGTGGAATGCAGTTTCGGCCTCACCTAGGTCGTATCGACACTCACAGCGGGTCTCGAACCATGACAGTGTAGCGTGTAATCTTGACACATTAACTACTACGCTGCATTGCCACGAGTGCACTTGGATCACAGAGAAGAAGTGAGTTTTAAAGAAGTCTAGGCACTTTCCCACATCACATTATTTGGTGAGATTGTCGATGAAGCCCAATTACATCTGCTACAACAATCGACTACATTACTTATTTTCGTTTATAAATAGGGTTTCGAGACAACTAATAAGTCAGTTATATGAGATGCATTCACCCGTTTAAGATTCTGAAGGTGTGTTGATAAAACCTAAGCGAGATAGAAACTGCAGTCTACTCCAGCCAGGATGAGAACACCTTTTGGGAAAGCAAGAATATATGAAATTCATTGGAAAACTCAGCTCTACTCATAGCATTTTGAGACATTTCGACTACCAATCCTTCATCACCTTAAACGAAATAGCGTGAATACCTGTCATGTAACTGATTTACTGGCGATAAAACCCTACTTATAAAAGAAAAATCAAAATCACTATCTGACTGTCTACAATCTGGCTGCCTAAGAGTCTTCAATTAGCCTCCCCGATTACTCCATTTTCGAGGATTTAGAGCAGATGATGCTCATGCTCATGCCCATGCCATTGCCTGGCAATCTTCCTCTCTCTAGACTTAAAACCCATGTCTCTGCTATCCTCTTGTTCATCTCCACCCACATTGCGCCTCATTCTTTGCGGCCCTGTGAAAATGCACCGCTTCCCTTTTCCCTCCGAATTGCGAAAAGCACACTCCTCTTGTCCTTCAAGATGACACTCCCATTTAAGCCTATAGTACTAGAATGATGATCATGTGTGTGTTGGCTGGTATCCCCCATGGCCAAGCCTGTCACCAGTCACCTCTGGTGGATTATGTAAAGAATCTAGCAAAGGCAATGGAAGAACTAAGCAGTGCCTCCTTCAAAACTAGCTCCACCTACTCGGTGGTGCCCAAAGACCCCCAAAGCATGCAGATAAGTCCATATCCGAGACGACCGGGTGTTAGCACTTATCTCACCCTTTCCACGCCATCTCCAAAGTTGGCGAAAACCTGACGCTGGAAATAGAGGGAGTGAGGAGGTGATGTATGCAGACAGACTCAAGCCCATTACCAACAACGATTTTGAGCCCAGCATGCCTACAAGGAGATAATCAGAGACCCTTATTAAAGACTAATACAGACATACTCACTCATTCCATCAAACCAAGAAGATAGGTGCATTTCGCTCCTGAAACCTGAATTTGGCCGCGTCTTCACAGCTACTGAGACTATCCCTTAGAGGTTTTTATCTCCTTGGAGGTAGTGCTGTATCAACTAATCTCTAATCGCTCTCACTACAACCATCATTATCATTATATTACATACTCAGCCATCTTCTAACGCACATTTGACTCAGAGATCATTTAGAGATACCAGTCATCCGCACACTTTATTTGGGCCGACAAATAAAAGTTTACCCCAGCATTAGCACACAATTTAGAAAATAATCAGAAACTGATAGGCAAATAACATAAACATTTTAGGCGGAAAAACTCCCATTTCGACACATATCTCCATTCTAGAGTTTATTCACTAAAATTCCTCGTGCCAACTTACACACCTTAATCATTTTCATAGATCATCACTTTTACGCAACGACGTTATTCAGGCTCATCTATTCAAACCATTTTGTCACGTTGATCGCTTTTTATCATCAGGTTGGTTGAGCCATGCATAATTGCATGTTAGCCGAGCGACTTTGTCTATAATCCGATTCAGACAATGTGATATGATATGATAGAATATGACGTGATATTATATCACAAATATTGTAGCATATGGTATGATATGATACATGAAATGATATGATATGGTGCGTCATTGCAATTTATATGATATGATATGATATGATACATGACGTGGCATGGCATACTATATTATATGATATGATATGATATAGTATGATATATGATATTATGTATAAATGTATGAATGAATGTATGTATGACATGGTTTGATGCTAAGACACTATATCCTAGTATTCAATAAGATATGATGTGATGTTTCCTATTATATCATGTTATATATACTTCAACTTGCGACACAGCGCTCTGGTAACCAATTTAGCTGAGCTAAAGTAATATTAAAATAAAATAACCTCAATTTTTTTAAATATAAGTGATTAGAAACAGTAAAATTCAATTATTTCGTTCTCCCAGACACTACTTTGCTTACAATTATACTATGTTTTGTAATGTCAGTATTTTGTTACAATTATTCTAGACGATGGATGGGAATAAACTCTTCAAGTCGAACTATAAAGTGGCTTCTGATAAACTTGCTACAATTCTGCGACAGATGTCTCATGACAAACGATGGCTTTCAGGCCGAGTGGCTAAAGGCAAGTCTTACCGCTTTATCCCGTTGAGCCTGCTAATTAAAATGAGAAAAGGTTGAAACTTCAGTCCAGCCTCAATTAGGAAGCCGCTTGGGAGATAAAACCATAGTAAGATTCCGGGTTATCAGGAGCTAGATTGTCTGACTTGTAGTGGACAGCATTCCTAACAAGAATAAATGACTCCAAATATGTTATGCCCATTATGTCTCTAGTAGTGAGCAAAATGGAATATTTCAGTACTTAGAAAAGTAAGTAAAAAGCAATAATAATAGGGCATTGTGTTTCAACACCTCAACTCTTAAGAGGACTCCATAAATAGTTATAAAATAAAATTACATTTATTAAAAAACATGTGCTTTCCATTAGGCTAGTTACTGCCAGACCAGATATGAAAATAGATCTTTACATGTCGTTTAAAGACAAGATGCACAATTATTCACAGGAAGTGGTAGTGGACTCATTCATCCCATTAATATGACTTCAATAAAGATGTTACCTGATGGCATTGTTGTGGCGAAGTCTATTTCTTGGTAAAGTGCCTGATAAAGAGATTCTTGTATCTATCTCGCCAAAAGACGACGGTTGATCCCCGTTGTTCTGTCTTTTGAG